TCAGGCGAATAAACATATTGTCCCAGCGATCGAGTCTTCTTCTTCTCAATAGCTACTATTATTATAATTGTAAATGGTCGGCGGCGGTCAGTTCATATTTAGCGCACAGTGCTATATCGATCTAAATTTCACTTAAAAACCTCAAGGGATTCTGAAATAAAGCTTATTCTCTCTCTCTATGGGCTTCGCAACTTTTGTTTTGGATTCTGTTACTGGTTAGATCCTGATTCGTGATAATTAAAATATATACATAAAGAATTTGAGTCGTTTTCAACACCAGATTGCCAAACCAGAAGTATGCTAGAAGGCTGCCTTCAGGTCCCTACAGTCCTGTCTCCATGTCGACGCCGATCCCAATCATAGCAGGGTTCAATGAGGAAGATCTGCTAAAGGAATTTGCCGTCAGGGCGCAGTAGTCAGTTCGTAAAGCATGCGAACTTGGTAAACCCTCTGCATGTGAAGATGGCCTTTAAAGACGTGATCGGAGCGGCGAATTCAAAGGGAGGGTGAGCGGAAGGAAGGGGGGACATGGGCCTCATAAATCAAACCCTTTGTGGCGGTGGATATCTTTTGAGTGTACACACCTAGAAAGTCTTTTATTAATTAACGGAAGCCTCATTCTTCTAACTATGCTCACCTTAATAAAATTTTGGCAACACCCCTGCCCAATTTATCATTTACTGCACTGCTTCTGCTACAACTGTGACTCCGTACGTTAGAAAGTGCCCACTTTTGTGCGATAGCTTTCGTGGTTTGGGCAAATATCCTCGATCAGCTGTGTTATTGCATGCTTTTCGGTGGAGTCACGCCCACCTGCTGCTCGTAAGCGTGATTCGTTGACGTTTTTTTGCCTACAATTCGGCTGAAATTCGAACTGCCGTTTTGGTTACCAGAACGGGTCCATAAGGCGCTACTGTAAATATTCTACACGAACACTCTGCCCCTCTCGACCCTAGCTGTTGTAACGGTGACTTCTAGCTGTGTCACCGTCTAATTACACCCCTTGTAATCCCCAACGAGTAACAAAATAGAAAGAACGTAAATGTGGAAGCCACCCGAAGGAGAGTTTATTGTGTACAAAACCAGGAGTTTTTGTCTCGGATGACAGTTGTTCCGCT